TTCAACTATACAATCGCAATATGGGTACAATGTCTCATATAAAAAAGTTTGGTTGGCAAAACAAAATGTCATTGTCAAACTTCATGGTGAATGGGATGCATCTTACAACGAACTTCTAGGTTGGTTTAGGCTGGTGCGGACGTTGAATCTTGGGATAATTGTGGACTTCGAAACCTCCTATGCATACCATAATGATCGAGTTCTATGCGATCGATGCCAATTCTACCGGGTTTTTTGGACTTACCCACAGTGCGTTAATGATGTCAAATACTGCAAGCCTGTGGTCCAGATCGACGAGACTTTCTTGTATGGAAAATACAAGCAAGTTTTATTATTGGCAGGTGTCCAAGATGACAATCGCAACATTCTTCCAGTTGCTTTAGCTCTTGTCGAATGAGAAAATACAGATTCTTGGGCTTTTTTCCTCCGAAACTTACGTGCACATGTTATCACGAGGGAGAAAATCTGTGTCATTTCAGATCGCGGAGCTGGGATCAAAGCAACAATAGAGTATTTGGGTCCAATGTGGCAACCACCCTTTGTCCAACATAGGTATTATCTCTGACACATTGCTGCGAACTACCATGAAAGGTACAAGAAGAATGATGAGTGTCAATTAATTGTGTGAATGGGTAAGTGAAAACAAGTTAGTAAGTTATACATTTTTTGATCATTTTAATTTTGCAAAGAAATCAAGTTATTAAGTTATACATTTTTTGATCAGGTTCAGAACTACTTCCTCGAACGTTTGAATCAATGCTTCAAGATTTTCAGGCGAAGAATGAGGAAGGATACGATTACATCAGCCTCATCGATAAAGAAATGTGGACGAACGCATATGATGGTGGATATCGATATTGACACATGACGACCAACTTGGCTGAGGCAATCAATTCAACCTTAAAGGGTGCACGTCACTTACCTGTAGCGGCTTTAGTAAAAACTACATATTTTTGTTTGGGGCGCTTTTTGTGAAGCTCGGGGGACAAACTGAAACCTATATACAAGGTAGTCATGTCTATCACCCTAGATTAGTTGCAGATATACAGAAAAAATTGCTGCATCAAATAGAATGTATGTAACAAGCTTCTCTAGAAGGCATGAAATATTTCGTGTCACAGAGTTGCCGCAACCTCTTCAAGGGATTGAAGTTGTGTCGTTAAGAGTAAATCTAAGGGACAGAACGTACGACTGTGGGTTTTTTCAAGCTCTGAAGTATCCATGCTCTCATGTGATAGCAACTTGCTCGCATACACGTTAAGACTATAACCATTTTTTGGATCCCATATACCTATTATATGAAGTTTTTAAGGTATTTGATTTTGAGTTTCCCCCCATAATTAATGACAAAGACCTTGATGAGGTTCAAGATTGGCTTCCGATTGTAGCAAATCTGAGTTTATTATGGGAGCGTGGTCGTCCAAAATCCAATCGAATTCATTGCGATATGTATATTCGAGAAAGATCTAGACAAGACAGAAGATGTGGGCATTGTAGAAACCCAGGACATACTAAAAAAACATGTCCACTTTTGTTGTCATCAAGTAACAATTGATGAGGAAATGATGTAGTTGTTTATCAAATAATAATTATTGTACTTTACTTTGCATTTACTTCAAGTTAATGTTATTCGATAACCGCAGATGAAGATTAAAAAAATGATACAATTATACGAGATTAGACGTTGGCGTTATATTAATGAATAATTGATATTAACGATACAATAAGTATTAAATGATAAATGATAACCAAATTACAATAACTTATATTAAATGATAAATTAACAAAGTAAATATTAAATGATAAATAAAAAAATTACAATAAAAAAGTCCAATAAATAACAACAATAAAAAAATACTAAATACAAGTATAAAAAAACAAAATCTATCGATGCCTGCGACGTAAATGTGTTCCGTAGAGCGGTGGTTGTCAGTCTCGAGGAGGATTTCTTCGTATCACTGGTTGTGACTCCTCGCTGTCACCATCATCGTCGTCGTCGTCCTGAGTAGCTACATTTTGTTGATGAGGATCTGATGACAATGAAGCACCTCCATAGAATAAGGACCCTCGATGTGTATGACTGACTATCCGACCGGCCTGTGAAAACTGGGAAAGCCAGACATCGATGAGTGTGAAAACTTTACAGGAGGTGTTTGTGCTGCGGCCATGGGTGATGAGGCTGGACCCGCCAAAATATGAGCATATGAACCCCAAGTTGGATCTGCAAACATAGACCCATAATAGCCTCCAAGAGGGGTCATATAACTCTGTGACGGCGGCGGCGGTGGGGTCATAAAACCAGGTGAAGACGGCGATGACAACATCTGGTAATGGAAAGGCGGTGACGACATCATATATGGTTACGATATGTAAGCCGGTGGATACGGTGACTGCTGTGAAGGTCCTGCTGGTGCAGCTGAGGATGAACCGGAAGCACCTGCTCTCCGTCCACGAGTCGGGGGACGATGGTGTTGTGTCGGTGAACGTCTCTATCGACGTCGCGGAAAGGTCTGCCCTCGTGCATCCTCGGGAAGAAGAAACGGTTTCTCGTTACTGTTGAACCACTCATAATAACCGTCAGTAACCTGACAAGAGGTCAAGTAAAATGGGCTCTCTACAGGGAAGGCGCCGATGTCGATCCTCCCAAAACACGACCCACGCATGATGCCTCACCAGCCAATCTGTATCTGTCTTGCCGTGTCTGTCTGTGCTATGCAACTCGTCCATATTGTAAGGTGATTCCAGAATTGGTTAAAAACAACCAAATTGCCGGAGCATGCTATTAGTAGAGTGCCACTCGACGGTCGCATAACATATCAAAGAGACTATTACCATCCAAACATCTGATGGGCCCCTCAACTCAGGTGGGATCACCGCCCTCACATCATCAGTAGAATATGACACTCATTCAAACTAAAACAAATATATATAATTTTTATCAAAATAATAATCTAATTATATAACTATAATCTAAAATCGATTTTTAAACATTAAAATTCATACATGTGTGCCAACCTTCTGATCGATTAACACCCTATTTTTTTTCTAAATCATCAGGTAGCTCATGATGATTTTTCCTATCAGTAGACCACCTATTCAAGAAAAATAATTTCTTATTCACTGTATAAAATTATTAATATACAAAATCAGTTTTATAATTACCTCAGGAGTAGCGGAAATACGAATGGGTTCTTGACAACTGGACATAAAAAGGGCAATCGATACCATGCCCAAGACTGCAGCAGCAGGAGACATCCGCCGATAGCATTACGCCTGCAGTCAATGGCTCGACACATCTCCCTGTACAGGCAAGCCAAAACTGCTGAGCCCAAACTGAGTGATCCGACCAGATGAAAGTCGCCAAGATGTTGCAACCACATACAATGAACTTGGTTGCGCGATTTATTCGGCATCAGCAACCCTCCTATCAGCTGCAATATGCATGCTCGTGTATACTGTTTAACTTCATCATCAGACGCGTCCTCGTTCAACTCCTAAAAATTGACATCTAACCAATTTAACGGTATCCGTCCACCGTTAAAATTTTTCGGGACACGTCCTAGACTAACCCGGCACAAAGTAGTCCAAGAACCGGAAGCTATCCTTGATATCACACCTCCATCCACCGGAAGCCCCAAGTGCATAGAAACATCCTCAAGCGTGATCGTGCACTCTCCGCATGGAAGATGGAATGTGTAGGTCTCCGGCCTCCACCGCTCTACTAAGGCAAAAATAAGGTCTGATTCTATGTTACAGTGACCCTGATATCTACCTAGGTGACCGAATCCAGCCTCTACTAAATACACACGAGTAGATATAACTAACTTAAGGTTCCTAATAAAAGGATCTAATATACGGTCTCTCTCCTAAAATATAAATAATTACACAAATTAATTTTTAAACTAATAATCATGCATTAAATTAATTAATTAATTAAATTAAAACGTTAAAATATTATCGTATCAGCAAAATGTCGAGATATATGATTTCCATCAAACCAAAGTAGATCGCCTTCCATTTTATATCTGCAAAAAAATTAATTAAATAAAATATTAAACAATTAAAATAATTAAATAAATTATTAAAAAATACTAAATATAATAAAATATACCTTAATAAGAGAATATAAGAGTATTTGAGAGAGGTTGAGAGGATTTGGTGTGATGAAAGCGATTGAGAATGAGAGTATTTATAGGAAGAGATGAGTGTGAACGGGCGGGGGTAGATTGGTAATTAAGGGTATAGCACGCGGCAGGAGCCACGCCTTTCTGACGCGTGTTAGAATCACATGTAAGGCGAGCCTCTGCCTCGTGCTATACCCTTTATTACCAATCTACCCCGCGCAATACACACATGTATCCATGTCAGCATAAGACACGCCGCAAGGGCCGCGTCTTACCCCACATGACGTCAAATCAACGTATAGTACATTACAGGGGCATACCTTACTGCAAAGAGTGTTAAATCAAAAAATATAATCTAATCGATATTTGATCAAAAATATTAAATTAAAAGGATGATTTTTCAGGAAAAATGCCGTTTTTCACAAGTTGGGTACCAGTCCAGTCAAATCAATTGTACTGGATTGGTATTCAAGTCAACCACGTGTTTTGATTGCTACTAATTTCGCTACTTGGCATTTGTGATTCATTTTAGGGTTATTCGCAAGTTTTTATAATTTCACAAACGGAATTTTAATACGTTGGTTTATTTAATAATAAAAAAATCAGTAATGCAAATTTGTAATTACTGTTACCTACTTTCATAATTAAATTTATTATTTTATAAATTAAAATAATTCAAATTTTGCATTTTAAAGCCAAAAAAAAATCGATTTTTTTTATAACAAAAGCATTTGATTATTTGACCAACTACCCTGATTAAAATAACACGTTCAAACGAGGCCACTTCACCTAGACTTTGATTTCTCAATATAAAAATACCTTTCCTTGTATTCAGAGCCAAGAAAAGCTTCTCTCTGTCTCTCTCTCTGCAATAAGAAAAAAAATGGTGAAAGAGGAACTGTACATAACCGTGCCGAGTGTTTTCCGGTGTCCAATTTCACTGGACGTGATGAAATCTCCGGTTAGCCTCTGTACTGGTGTTACCTACGACCGCTCCAGCATCCAGCAATGGCTCGAATCAGGTCATAACACGTGTCCCGCCACCATGCAGCTTCTCCCATCCAAGGATTTCATCCCTAACCTTACTCTCCATCGTCTAATCAATCTCTGGATCCAATCTTCTACTCTCCTGCCAGGTGCTAACTCTCCGCGGCTTCTTCCGGCGACCTTTCCGGAGATCACCCAGGTTCGAGCTAAGCTTTTGATGGAGAAGATCGAGAGCCAGTGCTGCGCCGAATCATTGTCTAAACTTTCCGAATTCGTGAGCTATTGTGAAGAGAACAGGAGATTTGTGGTTAGATTCCACGGTTTCGTTGAGGTGATCGCCGGAGTTTTGATAAGGAAATGTGTAGAAATCGAAGCTTTGGAAATGACGGTTGGGATATTGGATTTGATTTTGAGCGAAAACGGAATTAAAGAACGGTTAAATAAATTAATTTTGAAAAGCAATCAGGAAAGTAATTTCTTGTCGACGATCGTTTTCATTCTCCAAAACGGAAGCCCCGACTCGAAGGTCAGATCTGTCCGAGTCCTGGACTCACTAGCACTCGACTCAGAATCCAAACGCAGAATCTCCGACTCACAAGATCTTCTATCCGTCCTCCTCCAGCTCCTTCAAACAAACAACGACCAATCACTAAACGACGCCGTTACCTCCATTCTAACCACCGTTTCAGTAACTCGTTCCATCAAGTCCCGCCTCATCGAAAACGGCGTCGTCGAGATCCTATCGAACACGATGACCGAAAAGTCATTGAAGCTGTTAGCAACGCTCAGCAGTAGCAGCGAAGGCAGATCGGCGATCAGCTCGAACCCGAAATGCACGGCGGCGATCGTCGAGAAGCTGTTGAAGGTATCGAAAACGGCGACGGAGGACGCGGTGGTGGTGCTGTGGAGAGGGTGTTGCTTGCAGAAAGAGGAGAAAGTGAAGGAAGCGGTGGTGAAAGGGAATGGGGTGACGAAGATTCTGGTGATAATGCAAAGAGAAGGGGAAGGAAGAGTGAAAATGATGTGCAGTGATTTGGTTAAAGCTGTAAGAGCTGCGTGTAAAGATTGGAGCTTGGGCAGTTATGAAACCAAAACAACTCATATTAGGCCCTGTTAGTTTCTGGAAAATATATTCAAACTGAAAGTGAAACAAGATTCAAAGAATCTTTTGTTTTAGGAAATAAGATTCTTGCAATTTTGTTGAAAGGAACATGAGAAATTTATTGCCTTGATCTTCAGCTTTAGTAGTTAATTCATAGCTGCATGATCATGTTTTAGTTGTAGCTAGAAGGTTCTTAACATTGGGGTCGTGGGATCGAGTCCTACAGAAGACATTTCATAATTTGAAAGTCTTCTACGAAAGCTGTTCTCAACATGACGTTAGGGACAACCTACTATCCTACCTCTCCTTATCCCCTTACATATAGTAATAAGGGTTAACTAATTTTTTACTTCAAGAAGAGATCCAAAGGTCTCTTTCCTTGGTGAATAATGTTGTTGGTGCATATAAAAAGTTCATCTACTTTTGAAAAGAAATAAGTTTTTTATTTTTTCTTATATATTTATAATATTAATGTGATGATCTATATGCAAATAATGTCGCAGTCAAAAGTTAATTAATTTATTTATGTAATAACAAAATTGATCAACATATGTATTTATTAAATAGATTAAAAATTTTATTATACATAAATATATGTACATATTAAAATATTGTAATTTATATAGTATTTTCTTCCATACTTTTTCATTTGAATGTATAAAAAGGTCTAAATTGACGGATGAGCCTCAGCCTTTTCTTTTTCACTCCTCCATCGTCCTGCTCTTCTATTTCAATAGTTTCCGTTTTGAGCTTAGATTGAAGGAAGGCCCTGTCTTCCAAGAAGTCTTTCTTTCGTACTCCCTTCTTTCTCTCCCGAGGCAGATGCGACAGCGGATTCATGACAATGACTGAGATGATCGCCCTATCCTAGCTTAAGAGGTGATTGAAGGTTGATGCATGGAGGGCTCTGCTTAAGACGGAATTGGAGGCTGGTGCATGGAGGGCTGCTGTCCTAACGGCTCATGGAATGATTTCTGGAGCACCACCAAAAGTAACGATTACCAAGATACGCATAGTGATTCAATCTTTTGATCACTAATTTATGAAAACCTTTTTGGGGGCTTCCCCTTACACACGGAAGATTGGATTGTCACGAGTCTTATATACTGTGTTACGATCTCCTCATATTGATAAAAAGTCCAGAGAACAATTTGAAATGGAAATCAAGAAACAATTTCTGGTCACAAAAACAGAAGGGCATGAATTGCGCAAGAAGTTCTTTCGGTTAAAACGCTGTCCTACCCCCACCATGCCCGACCCTTTACCTTACCTTAAGAAAGAGGGGGTATGAAGCGTGGGAAACAATGCAAGAAGTGTTTGATACAGCAGGTAACCTTAAGGAGTGGCGGGCATGGCAGGGGCTCAACTCGCTACTCAATTCGATGTAAGTGCTAGAAGCGAAAGTCCAGGGATTGGATCATCTCTACAGCAGGTTCATCTTGAGGAAGTACGGTACGTCTAAGGTTAAGGTCTGAAGCCGATGTTCATTGGCCTTCCACGCCTATGATTCCTTGAATTCCTCGCCAATTTGAGGTCAAGCGGCTCTTTTTCTCTTTCCTTTTGTGCCTTTAGCTGCGAACTACACTGTATGGTGGGTCAGTCCTTCCACCTGACACCATTCATTTCTGCTTGATTGCTAGCCTCTGGGGACCTCGGATCCATACCCAATGAGATTAAGTCTTTAATTTATTAGTAAGTTTACTAATCCTATATGCTTTAAGCATGTGAATATTAACAATCTTACTTATTATTATTGAGCCATACCTCATGTTTCTCAAAAAGAGGTTTTTCTGGTTGTGAATATCTTCAAGAATTATTAAATACAACACAAAAATAATATATTAGATTTAATTTATGTCATTCTAAAAGTTAAAAGATGAAATCATATTTGGTTCACATATAAAGAAGAAGCAGTCAACTGTAGATGCATATTTTAGCAAAAAAGAAGATTAAAAAAGAAGATTTGTCTAAAATGTAATGTATCTAATTTTTTTTTATATATTTAATAAATTATTATCTTATATATTTAATGAAATTATTGTTTTATCTTTTTCTGATAATCTAAGATAAGTACAAGGTAATATATGTTAGTATATAATGATATACTTTCTTTATTCAATACATGCATTTTTTCGTTAGTAACTATTTAAATATTAGAGCATTAACTAAACGATTTTAATGATTAGTGGATTTTTGTTATATTTTCGTATCTTGAATCTAAAGACTATGTATTTAGGAGTATAAGCGTTCATTCTCAAATGTTTAAGAGTTATTGAACGTATACTATCTTGTATTCGCCACATAATTATATAAAAAAAAATAGTATATAAATATTTTGAAATTATTCTAATTTTGTTCTTTATTTTTTTTTAAAAGAAATAGTTTTACATTTTAGTGTTGGGGAAATGAGGAGCCAAGGCTCAATGTGGGTCATTTAACTGCTTCGTTTCATCTAACAAAAACATGGAAGATGAAACAAGCAAGATTTTCTCTTTTCTTCTGTACTTTATTCCACGGAAAATCCTCTGTTTATCTCAACAAGATCAAACAATGCAACTTTCATGTCTGTTCCTCTTCTGCTTCAGTCTTTTTTCCCTCGCTTTCCCTTCACTTTCTCTCCCACCAAACAACATCACCCTCTACGACGACGCTTTCTTCGGCACCAATGGCATTTGCCTCACTCAAGAAACCACCTGCCACCCTTCTTCTTCACCTTCCCACATCGGAAGAGCTCTCTACGTTTACCCCGTCCGTTTCCTCGACCCCACCACCAAAGCCAACAACGCTTCTTTCACCTCTGTCTTCTCTTTCTCCATCATCCCTAACCCCATTTGTCCTTTCGGCGACGGCATCGTCTTCTTTATCGCCTCCAAACCCGATTCTTTCAGCTTCTTCAATGGCTACATGGGACTCCCACAGCTCGACGATGACTTCAACTCCCAAGATTCTTCTTCTTTCTTTGCCGTTGAGTTCGACACAATTTTCAACCCATCACTCGGTGACATCAATGGCAATCACATCGGTGTTGATGTTAACTCCGTTGTTTCTTTAGCGTCGGTTGATGTTTTGTCCAAAGGGTTTGATCTCAAAAGTGGGAAAGAGATAACAGCTTGGATTGAGTACGGGGATTCGGCCAAGTTGGTTCAGATATGGATTAGTTATTCATCGGTTAAGCCTCCCAGTCCTCTTCTTGTTGCACAAATCGACCTTGCGAATCAGTTCAAGGAGTACATGCATGTCGGTTTCTCGGCTTCGAATGGACTCGGTTCATCGAAGCACATTGTCGACCATTGGCAGTTCAAAACATTCACCACTTCCATTGAATTAGGCTATTGTTTTATGTGTTTTCCAGAGGATTCATCCGACATTAATGATCCTCAGAAAAAAGGTCTCAAGATTGGGAACATGTGGGTTCTATTGGGATCCCTAGTCGCTTCCGTCGTTGTAATAATAGCGGTTCCGGTCCTTTGTTTCGTGGTGGTGAGGAAGGAGAAGAGTATTGGAAGAAGAAGCAGAAAAGAAGAAAGAATAGTTGAAATGACTAATGTCCCAACAAGATGGGCACTTGTAGAGATCAAATCAGCTACACTGGGGTTTCATAGGAACAGAATTGTTGGTGAAGTTCTTCGGCAGTTGTTTATAGAGGGTCCATCCCTTCCGGTGGAGCCATCGCGGTGAAGCGGTTCGATCAGTCCAATCAGAAATCGTTCACTAATAATCCTTTTACGACTGAGGTCGCCGCTTTGGCCGGTTGCTTGAAGCACAAGAACTTGGTTCAGCTTCAAGGGTGGTGTTGTGAGGGAAATGAGTTGGTGTTGGTGTACGAGTTTTTGGCCAATGGAAGCCTTGACAGACTCCTCCATAGAAACCCAGATTCATAAACTTTCCTTTCATGGAGCTTAAGATTAAAGGTAGTTCTAGGTGTTGCTTCAGCTCTTACGTTTTTACATGAAGAATGTCAGAGACAGATAATTCATAGAGATGTGAAATCCTGCAACATAATGCTTGATGATGAATTCAATGCCAAGCTTGGGGATTTCGGTTTAGCCGAAGTCTACGAATACAATTGTGGTTCAAGAGAAGCTACGATACCGGCTGGAACTATCGGGTATCTCGTGCCTGAGTATGTTTATTGTGGTGTTCCGACTGTGAAAACCGATGTTTACAGCTTTGGCGTGGTGGTGCTCAAGGTGGCCACCGGGAAGAGGCCCGTGAATGATAACAAAACGATCCTTGTGGACTGGGTTTGGGACCTATGGGCGCAAAGGAAACTACTTGAGGTGGCTGATTGGAGACTTTCTGGGAGGTATAACGTCTCGGAGATGGAGAGGGTGCTTGTTGTAGGACTTTGTTGCGCTCATCCCAACCATGAAAAACGACCCACAGTGAGAGAAGCTGCCATGGTTCTCAGAGGCGAAGCGGCACTTCCGGTTTTGCCATTGACGAGGCCAACAGTGAGGATCAAATCAAATTTGTGTCGAGAAAGTGAAGATATTTTGAACTTCGGTGGAGAAAACAGTCCGATTGGCGACGATGCTGGATGGTTGACGCCCAGGAGCCATTTTAGCAAGGTTTAGTTTAGGAAAGAAAATGAGAAACTATATGAAAGTACACGCAGGAAACATATTGTAATGATGTTCTAATATAAGAATTTAGGGTTTGCTCATGAAACAACAGCTGCAAATCATTTATAGATTTGTAAAATACAACAAAAAATACATGTTTTTTTGCCAATGTAACCATGATCTTTATCTCGGTGTGAGTTTCGTCCATCTTTACATACAATTTTCATGATCCAACGGTGTCGTTCGAACTACCAATGGAGCCGGAAACTGGCTGCCTGCATTACTGGATGCAGAAAATATGCACCTAGTGTCAATGCCGTGATGGACAAATAGGGCAATCGAATGAATTCTTTGTAGTAATCTTTCGGCAATTTTTGGCGGCCATCGAGGATAGCTGCAAATGGGATGATGCTTGTGCGCTTCTTTACAACTTCAAAAGCCTCCCCATGCAGCACAGCTAGTCTCCTATCACCATTCCAAGCGCCAAATAGATGATGTCCGATCAAACCGATGGACGCCGCAACAGCTACAGAGTTTCCAATCCAAAGTGTGTGCGCCAAGCACCAGATTACTTGCCCTACCATCTGAAAAGATAAGAGGGAATTACAAAGCGGATAATTTGAAAACATCGGAGAAGGATCAAAAAGTGTTCTACAAGACGACGGAAAACCTTAAACAAACAATATAATGTCAAGATAATAGTGGTCAACCTGCGGATGCCGGGTGATTCTCATGATGCCAGTTTCCCACAGATGCATTTCTGGCTTGTCGACGGCTGCTACCTCTAATAGATTAAAGGTAGAAGGATATAGGAAAAAGAAGGAAATAAAATTCGAGAGCCATACAAGTTGATGGACTCCGACAGCATTTTGAAGCTGCCATAACTGCACCCCATCATACCTATGGTTGATAAAGTACACCTGCAATGCAATCACAAATAAAAAAAAAGTCGGAACGAACTCTACCACGCCCTTGAGAGGCCAAGAATTACAAACTTAAGCTGCAAGACGATGAAAATCAACTTTAAATGAGTGTGCGTTTGTTCAGCATCAGAAATTTGGAACTCACGATTGTGCTAACAGCCAACGGAAGGGATACACCAGCAAATAGAACACGGTATGGACGTTTTCCCAAGAGCTTCTCACCCGTGTCCCGAATGCTAGCCAAGCCACTATGGACAGTAGCAAATATGAGAATGAGGACCAACATTACGATCTGCCAAAGAAGGTTTCGAGAATCAAATTCTTATTGTCAAAGCCCTATTACAGAAAATAACACAAATAACGTCGACAAAGCAAGAAGCCAACAGTTAATCACATAAAGCATCTGTCACTTATGAGTTATGAGCTCATCATTCCAAGTCATGAACATTCCTATAAACCAAAGCTAATACCAAAAACAGTGCAAGGCATCAGTTATCAGCATTTTTAAAATGGAACACAGCTTCGATAATTTCGAAAGAACATGCAGGGCATTAGTTTGTCGAATGCATCCTGTAAACCAACAGGTCAGGATTAATGCAAGTCAAAGTCATTTGATCAATAGAAAAAGAGTTAATTTTTGGTACATAATTTAAGAAAATTAATAGAAACTGAGTTGGAGCTGATAAAATTGCATGTATATCCCTTCAGCGCCAGTTTTTGTATCTTTAATTCAGCACCAATTGTACAAGAGAATAACTTTTGTACATAAACCCTCAATGCATATTAATTTTGTATCTTTAATTCATCACCAATTGTGGCAGGCATCTAAAATTGATTACAGGCCTCGTGTATAAGAGAATAATCCAAGCAATAAGTACGAATTGAACTCAAAATATCAGCATAAACAATATGATCAAATTACAGATTTTGATGGAACAAGGCTGAGAAAAAAGGTAACCTCATGGCTGTCAGAGAGAGTTGAAACAGCATCAATAAAAGCTTTTCCATAGCCAGTGGAGTTATCAATCCAGGCAACATCGAGAATGAAAAGAACAATTCCCAGAACAACAGTGAAATAAATCCAAGAAACGATGCTTTGGGTACCCAAATCGAAGGCTGCAGAGTCCTCACCCACCAAAGGAGGGAGCTCTTCTGAGGAAGAATCGGTTTCCCCAAGGGAAGCTTTGGAAAGAAATCGAATTCTAAAGGATTTTGAATGGAAAAAATGGGGTTTAAAGGATGTTGAATTGATGGGTTTTCTGGGTTTGGGGAAAATGGGTTGAAGATGATGTTTTTTGGCTATGGGTTTGAATGGACGAGGAGATGAAAACAAGGAGTTTGCTACAACAAGACAAGTTGCCATTTTTACACGAGAAAAGAGAGCTTTGGGAAGCCGATGGGGTTTCTGAAATGTCAACTCCCAGTGGGCCAAATCTAACAGAAGCTTTTTTTGTCAAATTATTCTTTTAGTCCCTCTGTGATGCATAAATTGATTAATTTAATTCCTATGTTGCTCATTTTTAATCTCTATATTTTTAAAAAAGACCACATCATTGGTGATCTATTCGTGAATAAGTTTCACATTATGATGGTCTTCGGTTTCGAATGAGATTTTTCAGTAATAATTATTCTTCAATAGAATCGACGTCGTCATTGTTTCCGTCATCTTGACCGACGTTATATCCAAAGTTATTGGTATCATTATTTGTTGTCGGCATCAACAATAATGGAAAACCTATGAAGAATGAAAAATGTGAAGGTATTTGATCAATAATCTCATTGTTAAATGTAAACTGTAAAAATTCAAAAAATATCATCGATGAAAATGGCATCATTAGTTGAATCGGATGGATTGGCTATGAAGGTATTGGTGGAGGACCAACACCTGTCAAATATGATGCATATGAAGTAAAATATAGGGTCTGATAATATTGGTGTATAATAATTTTGTGTCAGACTTGACATTGATGGAACAAAATATGGTAAATATTACATCAACGGTGTCGTCGATGTATGTTGTGGTGTTTCAAGTGGTGTTGCTGAAGACGAACCGGAAGCTATCCCTCAATTAGGCGGGAGACAGCGATGTTACATCAGTGGACGCTTTTCGCTGCATCGATGAATAGATTTAGCTTGTTTCTCATTAAACAATAGATACAACCTTTTATGTTGCATGAACCATATCATGTACCACTCAAAACAATCATATTAAGACTCAAAAAAATAACGATTGGAAATACGATCATGTCGTGTCTCTCAAATGGATGTGTTTCCTTCTCCACTCAACATTTACCTCCCCTCATCTGTCAATTTTATGCATAATATCTATGTCAGTAGTTGATACAGAAATGAACTGTCCAAAACCAAACTGGTTAGGATTGTTTTAAATAAAGAAAAATACAAATAAAAGATCAATTGGTTAGGATTTTTATTAGTGTAAATCGAATGGATTTTCAACCATATTATATTAGAACTTTGAAACTAACTTTCATTGGTTAGGATTCGTTTACCGAGAATATTAGGGCTTAATAAAGAAAATTATTGAAAATTATATTAAAATAATACTTTTTCTAATCGTTTATTACTGAAATAACACACAAACAATATTAGTTACTAAAATAGTACCATAAAAAAGTCTGGAAAGATATTATTTTAGTAAAATTATCATATATATATATATATATAAATCAGAATTCATACGTTAAAATACTAAAGAAATATTTGAAACAGGGATTTAAGTAGTAGTTGTGATCAGTTGCATTGTGTTTATCGTGATTTCATACACAACGGATGTTATTGTTGTAATTGTGGATATCACGGTTGTATAATAACGGTTACGAACGGCACCCGCTACCTCTATCTCAATAGCGGACTGCTATTTAAATCCCTAATCTGATCAGAATTAAGATAAAGAAAATGAGTGGTTTGATGAAGTTTGTAATTGTTGTCCCGTGTTGTTTCTTCCTGATAAGTTTAATAAAGTTCCTTTATGATTACTTATGGAAACCTCTCCGTATACAGCATATGATAATTCACAGGGAATCAAAGGACCTCCTTCCAGATTCATCCATGGAAACAGCAAACAAGTTACCCAGATGAAGAAGGAAGCTTCAAGCAAACATATGGGCTTGACTGATGATTTATTTCCCAGGCTGCAGCCACATATCTACTCATGGCTCAAGACGTATGGTAAGATCATGGATACATGCATTTTTTATTTTCGGTTGTGATTTCATAAACCCGACTCGAAATTTATATATAAAGATTGACTTTTTGATTTTTTTTGTGTGATTAGGGAAAAATTATCTTTATTGGAACGGTGCTCAAGCTGAACTGGTTATCTCACAAGCTGAACTGGTTATCTCACAAGCTGAACTGGTTATCTCAGAACCTGAACTAGTCAAAGAGGTGCTGAAAAATAGTGGAAAAGTTTTTGTGAAAAGGAAGCCTACAGACTTGGGCAGCAAGCTACTGGGGAACGGGCTTGTGGCGGTAGAGGGCGAAAAATGGGTGAAGCAACGGAAGCTTGCGAATCAAGTTTTTCATGGCGAAAGCTTAAAGGTAACGAATCATATCCCCATATCCATATGCGAAAAATGAAGAGTTCGAGCAATGTAGCTCGAGACTCAAGGACTAATCTTCATGTTTTGTTTGAGCAGAACATGACTCCGGCAATGATTACCAGCGTTGACAATGCTAGCAAGGTGGAAAGGCTAAGAAGGTAAAGAGATCGAAGTGTACCAAGAATTTAGATTATTGACTTCAGAAGTGATATCAAGAACAGCTTTTGGTAGCAGTTACTTGGAAGGGGAGAAGATGTTTAACATGTTGAACAAGTCGACGATAATTGTGATCCGAAATATTTTCGCGACCAGGATTCCTTTCATCAGGTATGTTGCATCTATGCTTAATCGATGCAAATTTTAGACTTTCGATCCGGATTGATCTAGTTTTCTCCTTGTCCATAGCTGACCTTGGTTTGCTTGTACAGCAAGTTATGAAATCTACTGATTTGAAAGAGGCAGAAGAACTTGAGAAAGGAATACAAGCTTGTGTGATGGAGATTGTTAAGAAAAGAGAAGACAAGGTCGTGATCGGAGAAGTCTGACAGCTTCGGAGACGATTTCCTGGGATTACTTGTAAAGGCTTATCATGATTCAGACGAGGGAAAAAGACTTCTATTGCAGGAACTGGTAGATGAGTGCAAAACATTCTACCTTGCCGGACAAGACACTGTTAATTCTTTGCTTGGATGGACAGTCTTGCTATTATCAATCCATAGAGATTGGCAAGAGAAAGCAAGAAGAGAGGTTATTGAGATATTTGGTGACCAAAATCCACATCCTGAAGGCATTCCCAAACTCAAAACTCTAAGTACACTATCCAACCATTTAAAATTAGTCTATACAAAGGATATTCTGTGATGTAATTTAACATGTTTCGGTTCTGCAAACAGATGACCATGATCATTAACGAAACACTAAGACTGTACGGTCCGTCGAACGGTCTGCCGAGAGAAGTCGAAAAAGAAGTTCAGTTGGGAAAGCTAGTCTTACCTGCTAATATAAATGTATCGGTTCTAAATATTGCGCTTCACCATGACCCTCAACTGTGGGGGAGCAGATGTGCATCTTTTTAAACTGGAGAGATTCGCGAATGGAGTCGCCAAAGCGACAAATTATAACGCGGCTGCATATTTTCCGTTTGGGTTGGGACCTCGATCTTGTGTCGGTATGGCATTTGCAACCACGGAAGCCAAGATCGCTCTATCCATGATTCTACAACGCTACACCATGACTCTCTCCCCTGCCTATGTCCACAGACCAGTTCTCCTTATCTCCCTTCGACCACAACATGGAATACACGTAATACTCGAGTCACAGCATATTCATGCTTAATATATATATATATATATAGCTTCTAAGAATTCAAGGCTTAATGTATTCACTTTTAAAATATGATGTATAACTAGCATTCACAACCCTAATATAGTTACGGGTTTGAGCAACTATGTTTGCAGGATGTATGTAGTTGTCAATGGCTGAGAAAGATTATGAATAAATTTTATATTTTAATCACCTTATACTACTAAAAATACCCTAATATAACGAACATGGGCTCGAGCCTGAGCATTGCCACCACTACTAGTATGATATTGTCCTCTTTGGGTATCCCTAAACTTGACCCAGTAGTTCGCTTCAAGGCTTTCTCATCAATCTTTTTCCTATTGCTCCATGAGTGGGAAGAGTGTTGCCTTTTGTTTGTGTTGTAAAACGGATTCACAATTGTTTTATTGCCCATTTGACCCTTACTTTCCTTATCATGGAACACTATTACTGCCAAGTACTAATTACAATAAAATTATCTCAAGGATCGGACCCATAATGAAAACATACAACGAAATTGATGAGTCGACACACTAATTAAATAAATGATAAAGTACACAATTGATACTCTGATTATAGGGTATTATTTTTATTAAGTATTTCAACTATTAAAAGTTATAAAATGGTCCTCCGACTATAAGACATCGTTTCGCTTCATGCTATTAAAAGTTACAAAATAATCACTCGACCATTCATATATTCCAAACTCGTCATTCTCTTTTAAAAATTCGACGGTCATTTGAGCTGGACGTTAACGTACTAACTAAGATATGATCAAACATGGTTGTTATTTTTAAGCATTGGCTCGACGACATAGAGTTTCAAGCATTGTCTCAACGACATAATGTAAACGGAGATTCGATCAACAAAATACACCTTAAACGATTATTGGATAAGATTTTATCATATCTCATTCAACAAGTTAACCTACAACTTAAAAGACCGTCAATTTTTAATGAAAAATGACGAGTTTGAAACATATGAATAATCAAGCGACCAACAAAACATCGTCCTATAGTCATGGGACCATTTATGTATTTTACCCTTAAATAAACTACTGATGCAATGCAAAACTTAACGTATCTTAAATAATATAAACATAAATTGATTATAAATAAATCACATAAACTTACCGTTTGTGTACTTTATTCTCATATAGATTTATATTGAAGTCGGTGTTTATATTTATGTGACTGTTCAGAGCGATCCAAATGTTCTTTTATTTTTCATGGTTAGGATTCGTTGACCAAGAAAACTTTGAATTAACTGAAGAAAATTAATAATAAAAAATTCAATGACATTAAACACCATATAAAAATATCATACAACAAATTTAAATTCTTATATTTTACGCAATCATTAAATAAAGACTTAATATAAAAATGATTAAATTATATTTTTTATGTGTATAATTTTTTCGATCAATGAAGATGTCTATCGTTGCAAATATTATTATTCTAAATTTTTTACCGTAATAATCGTTAAATTTTTTTGATCTACATCGTATTTATATTTTTTTATATTTTTAAACACTTAAAAATAGTATAATTTAATCAAATTTTTATAGGTACTTTTGAGTGGAAGTGAATGGTTGGAAAGGAGGGCACGTATCCAAGGATGCACGTACAAACATGAAATCGAGAGGTTATTAATAAGGATTTTCAGCGTAAAGTAGACTGCATTTGAGCTCGTACTTCAAATAAATCGGTTGATGCATGCCCACATTTCTACCTTATTTTTCTTGTTAATAAATTGCTATTTATGCTACCCATGTGGACGGTCAGACTTTAGAGTTAAAATATTCCAATAAAAATAATTTCATCCAATACATTCTAAGTTTGTTATACCTCATCCATAAATAACTCCGTTAAAAATTGAAGTTTCCGGGGCAAGAAATCTCAAAAGGTTTTTCAACTATAGATTTCGGGTTGTCATACTTTATGATTACTTATTTTCTCTCAAACATGATTCTTGATATAATTATTAATAGTCCTACAAAATATGTAAAGATCAAATTCATCGTCAAACAATCATATTTATTCAGCTAGTCAACTTATGAATAATCATCATAATTTAAGTCTGACATTAATACTAAATGTTACTATAAAATTCCTAAACCATGATAAAAAAAATAAGCTTCTTTTCCATAATCATCGTCTTCTACTTATACATACGAAAAACCAAACGACTTAAATCGCTTGTAATTCCACCATAAAACATTGGTCGTGGCTCTGCGCTCAAATCAAAAGGGATGAATCGTCTATAGTCACTACAATCTAAATGCTACCATCAACAATTGGTGTAGTAAGTAGGGAAGACTTCATGATGGAAAAGAATCAACCGAGATGCACCCTCAAGAAAACAATAACCAACATCACCCATATTCTCTTCCAAAAATCTCCCTAAATGCGCACAATTTACCAGGTTACGCAACTGCAGATCAAGCTGTATAACTTGCATGCATCTAAATGCTACCATCAACAATTGGTGTAGTAAGTAGGGAAGACTTCATGATGGAAAAGAATCAACCGAGATGCACCCTCAAGAAAACAATAACCAACATCACCCATATTCTCTTCCAAAAATCTCCCTAAATGCGCACAATTTACCAGGTTACGCAACTGCAGATCAAGCTGTATAACTTGCATGCACAATCTTAGGCCTCCGAAATGACCTGACTATGGTTGCAATAGTATGGCCAAATTCAGAAAATCTTTCCAACACGAATCACTCATCCCACTAGTGTTTGCAATCTATCATATATTATTGTTTAGATTCGCTTCTGGTTCATCCAATACAACATCGATAATATCAAATAGAAGGTAGATGAACCTCATAAGTTTATCAACCAAGAAGTAGCAGACCTTGCTACCAGTGAGCATCAACATTTTGATACTATCACAACTTCATATGTAGCTTTAATAAGGAGGGAACCTCCTGAGCTACACAAATAATCTCATCTTAGAAAGGAGCGTCGAGCCCATGATGTCAGGAAGAACTCCTACAACATCATCCTCTGACTACGTACATATAACTTAGCTACTTCTCACAAAAGCTAGTGAGAAATTAACTTTCTTTTAACATACTACGTAGTGCTTAAAAATTTCTAGTACATAAAAAGACTAAAATTCTTCTCTCACCGTTTAAGTTTTGGAACTTTCTAAAGATATTTCCCCCGATGTGTTGTATATCCTACACTATGTTTCCATAGTGTTGAGATGTCTCCGTTGTGTTGTCACGGGGTTGAGATGTCTGCATTTTGGCTAAGAGTGTCGAGTTGCCTCCGCTAAACTTTGGTTGAAAGGACTTCTTTAATCTCTTCATTAATCGGTCAGATGAGTTAAAACGATTTCGTTGTCCGTTAATAACATCAAGATGCCTTTACTCTGAAATTATTGAGATGCCTCTGTCGGGAGTAGAGTTGTCTCAATCTCAAGCTTACGGGTTATATATTTACCCAGGGCTTTGGGTTACTTCCGCTCTAGCAGTAGGAGTTTCTCTATTGTGCTTTAACAAGTGTTGAGATACCTTTGACCAAGCGAGAGGAATGCCATTTCATTGCTTCTACCAAGGTGAAGATGTCTTAGCTCAACTTGTAGAGTTCTGAATGCTTGAAGATACCTCCGTTCCACCTACAACACCATTGGGGGCTGTGTTACTTCATCTAACTAGCAGAGGGCGTTAAGATGCCTCTATTCCTCTAGAACTAAAATGACTCTTCCTAGTTTTGATTGAAAAAGATGAGAATCATTTGTCTTTGTAATAGGGATTACTCCATTGTTGATTCATAGGACGTCGATATGCCTCCACCCGAAAGTGTTGAGGTGCCTCTGCATAGCTCATGAAATTATGCCGAGGATGAGTTATCTCACACTCTAACCTTCGTAACTCAAATGATCCTATGAAGAGTGCTGAGATGCATCCGCTTGACAATATGAATTTTTTCATTGCTATTATGAGTGTTGAGATGCCTTTGCCTTAACTAGGGGGGACAAAAAGCTCTCAATTGCTCCCACCGTGGTAAAAATGCCTCTGCCTGTCAGACTAGACTTCTCTAAGCGTGTCGAGTTACCTATTTATGGCCGAAGGTGAGGTATCTCTCAACGGGCACTTTAATTACATACATTATACAACCACCTTTTCACCAGCCTAATAGAGTCAAGATAGATGCCTTCGTTAAGGTTAAAAGAACCTATCATTGACCATCACAAAATGTTGAGATGACATTCAAAGCGTCGAGAATCCTCTATAGGATACATATATAGGCATAGAATTAACACCGTCTAATTTAAAATTGCTTACAATAATTAAGATAATGAAATGTCTAAAATGAGGACTTGGGAGAATTTATAAAAGCATCGAAGATGCCACTATCTCCAACAATATTTTACTAAAGCATTGAGAATCTTCCATATGTGCGCTGAAAATCTCCACCCAATATAAAAATTGGGTGAACCGCTACAACTCTTTGTCAAATTAGAAGGTGTGAACTGTTAGCACTTTGCAGCTGATGTAATGCATTATTTCCATCAAACACAATGTGCCACATATCTAAGCCTCCAATCATTTGGAAAACAATTCATTTTATGATATTTCCTTGATCAAGATGAGACAATTTGTTATACCTCCAAAAATAATTCCACTGAAAATTGACGTCCTCGGAGCAAGAGGAGGCCTCCGAAGGGTCCTTCTTTGCCGACCACAAACTTCAAGTTATCATACTCTCCGACCAATCATTTTCTCTCGACATGACTATTGACATAACTATCAACATACTACGTGACCTATCAAGATCAAATCTATCGTTAGACGACCATATTCATTCGATTGACCAGCATATGAGTAGTCATCGTGATCTCAAGTCTGACATTGACATCAAATGTCACTATAAAACCCTTAAGCCAAGATAAAAAAGGGGGGTTTCTTCTTCTAATTATACTTATGAAAAACCAGACGACCTAAATCACCTTTAATTCCACAATAGAACATCAAATACGACTCTTCGTCTAAATAAAAAAAAAACTGTCTATATCTACTGCAACTTAAATATTACCCTCAAGAAAGTTATATCATAATCTAATAATAGTTAACTGATATTGGCATGGGTATTAATTATTGTAGATTTTTTAAGATTATAAATTGAAGTAAATACTTAGTATAATGTCCAACTATTTATATCCTTCGATCTATCAAATTATAATTATGCACTTAAGTATGCATGAATCTATAAGATTTGAGGCTGTAAAGAAATCTTTAGTAAGGAGATTTGGATACAAATATGTTAGTCTTATTTTTAAAATTAAAAATTGTGATTTCTAGTTGCTTTATTTAAAAAATTATATAAAAGTATGAAGAGATCATACGATCCATCCAGGTTAGTAAATCAACCAACGAAACACACGCTCAAACCCATCACAATCGATCATACGCAGCACTAAAAACTAGACATAACCTCACCTACGTGCATTTCCAACTCCCGACGGCTCGGCAACCGCCCCCGTTTTTGCACCATCAACGTCATATATACATGCACACACACATATATATACAGCTTACAGTTCTTATAAACTTCCCCTCTCACAATCTATAGATTTACAAAGCAATTATTCTTCAAAAAATGTTCATGTTTAGTGACCAGCAGATGTTGCAGTGTGATCCTACTGTTCCAGTGTTTTCTATAGAGAGAAAGTGGAAATCCAATGTTGAAATCGCTCCCAATTGTCCACGTTGCACTTCTCCCAACACCAAGTTCTGTTATTACAACAATTATAGTTTGTCTCAGCCTAGGTACTTCTGCAAAGGTTGCCGAAGGTATTGGACTAAAGGTGGTTCCCTTCGGAACGTGCCGGTCGGAGGCGGCTGTCGGAAGAGTCGACGGGGCAAGTCTAGCAGGGAAAGGCTGGAGAAACAAGGTCGAATTTCGATGAATTACGGTAAGAATTCAAGTAGTTCTTCTGATGGGGATCAACCGGATATCGATCTAGCCATTGTTTTCGCCAAGTTCTTGAACCATAACGCCAGCTTTGATCAGCCTTATCAGCCTAATGATTCATCAATGCGGTGCCAGAAACCAGTTGTTCATTCAATTCCAGAGTCTTGTATCTTTCAAGAAACGCGGGAAACCGATGAGATCGAGGCGTTCGGGTTACAAGATTTGTTAGCAGCTGATGATCAAATGGCGTTGCTGGATGGTTTGTGGGCCGACCATGATGTTGCTGCAACAACAACGCCAGACTTTGAATGGCAACCAATAGTGCAAATGCAACAGTTTGAATCCTTTCCAGTGGATGATCAACTGAAGGTTTCTGCAAATTTATTGAATGAAGAGTGGGGTTCCTTTGATCTTTCAGGGTTTGGAGTTCATTCAAAACCTTGAAGTTGAAGGAACTTTTCCAATTTCTTTTATAGTAATTCATGCTGTATTCTTTTTTGTATTCCTTAATCTACTGAATTCACAACATGATCTAGCTTAAGGTTATTGAAATTATATTATTTGAAGAAATATATGAATAATGTATTTTTCTTAAACACATTTGAAATCTATAACATCTTCTTAGATTAAAATCCGTAATTATAAACATGTGTATACAATATATGACGTTATATGTTATATGTTATATTTGTCATAAATATTAAAGTATTATGAAAATAAAATTATAAATATCATAAATTATATTTATAATTTAATGAAAGATAAAACTATAATACTTATAAACTGATTTAATATTCAATTTATACGAAGATATAATGTCTCCAAAAAAATAAATTAATTAGTATTACTCTCATTCTGTTAAGAATATTTATGACAAGAGTAATTTATCTCCTTGAAAAATTACTTATATTTTATTTTTAATAATTTAACATGATTAAATCTTAAATTTTAGTTTTATATCAATTATGTTTCAATTCTAACATTTTGTATTCTGCCCGTTCAATATAAATTTGAGAAGTGTTTTATTTTTACCAAAATCATTTTTGAAATCATAAACAACATAAAAATATATAATTTAAAAAAAAAAGATTAGTAGATATTTTTTTACCAAATATAATTTTAATTTTTTATTATTTCTTTTTTTTTCTTATCACATATAAAATAAATATTTATCTTTTTAAAATTAATTTTTACATATTTAAAAACATTTTTTAAAAATAATATTAAAATAACCCTACATCACATGCATGTGAAGTTGTAAGAACAACACATGGAAGTAGCGTAGGAGACTAATGTGGATCTTGGGATGAAAAAGACACGTCGTGGGGGGATTAATGTTGGTCGATTGTTAGGGTTGGGGTCAGTCCACCTCAATCAATTAAAATCTTTGGAGTTGGAATATATTTACTTTTATGATGTTGATCCATCATATGATGTTGTCGAGTATATGTTAACATATGATTATTTTAGAATCCATCGAATTGTTTCATTAATAAATGAGAAATGATATTGATATTTTTATGTGGGTATCAATATCAAAATAAAGTTTGAGATATAAAAAAATGTTAATATTGATACTTTGTAATAAGGTATCGATATAGTCATTATCTCTAAAAGTCTCAGGTTCGAACACCAGAGACTGTAAGGGTAATAATCTTTAGAATATATACTACTTTGTAATCCTCTTAGATTTAAAAAAATATATTTTTAAAAAATCCTTAAAGTTTTCAAACTTGCATTATCAATCATCAAACATTTTCTCATGCAAACTTATTTTCAACTTATCTATACACATATTATACTATAGCATACTTTCACGATCTGTACTTTTACATCAATAACATAAGTATACATATTAAAATGGTTACAAATACCTCAAATACGTACAAAGAAGATTACATATATCTCTCTTGAAATGTAAATACGACTTCTAAAATCAATATGTCTTTTCAGATTCATATTTGAATGTATTTTTATTCAAATCCACTTATTGAAACATATCATTAAAATTATATTATTTTATCGTAATATTTAGTACATATATTGTAATAGTGACATCTATCAATACCAACATTTTGTTTTCTATTTGTATAACATACATTACATTTCATTCACTTTCTATAATAAAGATTAATATGTTATTGTGCTCAAATACTATCAACATTGCACTTTCATATACAAACATGTCCATTGGGTCTACTTCTGCATCTTTTATAAATTAGTCCTTTAAGCTTTCTTTTCACTTTAATCAGTTCTAATCCTTTATAAATTCATTTAGTTCATGTTAATCCTTTATTAATATTATCATTACTTATTGCCAAATATATCTATTAAATAAAAATCTCAAGTGAATTATTGTCATTATTTTTGAATAGTTTGTAGTGATTACAAGGTAATATCTGTTCAGAATCTTTTTTAACCATCGACAATACACACCATGCAGACGCAGTTGCTCGAACCCAAGACCTCAAAAGCAAACAACACACTCTTTAACCATCAAGTCCAAGTTTTGGGGTAGGGAACATCCATGCACCTTGATCGGATCGATTTCTCGCTGCAACAGATCATTATAATAAGTTCTGCATGTGTTTTCTGATCTCGTGTACTGCAGCGAGTCAAACTGTTTTGATTTTTTTTAATCTATTGATAACGACGTACCATATAAATTGTATATATAATTATATAAAACTTGAAAGAAAATATTTTTTTACTATTAGCACAAAATAATTTGTACAAAAGCAAGTGAAAATATCGAGAAAATAAAAATAAAATCAGCCACTTGTTGGGCATCACTTGCCCCCACCTTTTCTCTAGCTTATTCCATTAAATTTTATTTCATTGAAAATCAATTTAATTATTTTCCTTTCCATTTGTTTGTTTTTTAATGCCTTTCTAGAAATATCCCCCCCCCACCTTGTCTTCCTCATGGGACCATCTCAAGATTTTGGTCTCAACTGTTTTCCCACTGAACAACTTGCTGCTTCTACTAATTTATTCATTAATCTACTTTAATTCAGCTAATAAATAAATCTTTTATCTTAAATTTACATAACATCGATATTATATTAGTAGTGTTTACAAACGTTAAAATGATCGATCATAAGGAATCGATTCAATTAATTATCAATTGGTCTAATGAGAAGAGGTGATATGTCTCTTAAACAATGTTTAAAGTCTGAATTTTGAAACCGTGAATAAAACAAATTTGATTATAATAATTATCTCACTATAGATTTATGTAATGTCCGATCTAAATTAATCATCTAATGAATCAGATCCGATTGTTATATTATGTTACTAAGTTCAACTAAAAGTAAACTTATAGGTTGCTTCACAAAATATATCTGAATACATCGACAAGCAATCACAAAAAAGAATCTAATCATTGAAAAGCCACCGACAATCGTAAATTGGATACGAGCGGTGTGAGAATCTCTATACCATCGCATATCTACCGTAGAAGTAGATGAACAATGTGCCATAAGACAAAGAAATAGTACCACAAAAACAGAGTTAAATATGTCAAAAAGAAATACGAACATGTGCAAAATATGTGAAAAGTAAGAAGTCAAATAAAAGAGGTTTTTTTATTAAAGACTAAAATAAAAATCGAATAAAAGAACAAACCAAAGCGAGATATGAGATAATAAAGATAAACGCCGACGGTCGACGATCAGTACCGGAATTAATCTCAAAGTCGGTAAAAAAAAAATTACGATAAATTTATCGGTAGTATATCTCTGAAGTCAATGAGTCTTAATGGTCAAAAAGACATTGATGTCATGGTTAGTAATTATGATTATATAACTCAACATTAATCTTTTTAGTGAAAAATACTTTATTTGAATTATTGTTAGGTCCAGTGTAGATTTAATTAGATGTTGAAGTGTAGGTGTATACTTGCTATTAATATACTTGTGAAGTCTATGAGTTTTAATGGTCAAGAATATTTGTTGATGTTACAGTAAGTAATTAAGATCATTTAACATAACATTAATTTTCTTAATAGAAAATAATTTACTTGAATTATTACTTTATCTAGTGTTGTACATACCAATTATTTCCATAATTATATCGCTGTCATATTTCTTAAATATTCCTATTTGTTTAGATATGTATCTATTTCTTCAATATTTATGCAGTCTAAATTTATTTTCAATGAACTTGTATAAAATGAATTTTATTCAACGTCTAATAATGAATTAGTGAAATTTTATTTTTATTATTCTATTTTCTAATTGTAGGTTCTCGAATATATTTTAATTAAGAAAATATAGTAAAACATGAAAGTAAAAAATAAATGTAGTGTTGATATTTTATACAATGTTAATAGTATGTATGAATCTCACAAGGTTAATATTTGTAAATAAATTTAAAAAATATATTCAAAATTTTCAAAAATATTCACTAATTTTTTAAGGAATTTTTAATTCATTGTCAAAAGTATTTTATTCGAATAATTTTGCACCAATAAAGACTACAGTATTATAAAACATATATGTACTTAACAACTAAATATATCACACCCTTTTGTCATTTTACCCGTATCAACTATCAGCTAAATTTAACAGTTAATCAAATCAATTTCTCAAATCAGCTAATCAAATCAGTTAATCAAACTAGCTACTAGAATCAACTACCAACTATCAGTTATCAATTGTTTGTCAAACACCTCCGACATATTTTTGGTCATATAACAAACTTAGCCTAATTACGTGAAAACTCTAATATGCACAAATTTACAAACAACTAATAGAAAATGATCTTAAGAAAAAAATATTTATGATCAAAAGTGAAAAAAAAAATAAAAAAATTAGGGTAAAATACATATTTGGTATCATGACTATCATTTTTGTTTCATTTTGATCATTCAATTATTTTTTTCAATCATACCTAACGTTACGTTTTAGTTTCATTTCGGTCACTCATTGCTAAAAATTTAACAGAATTACTGACGTGAATTTTTATTTTATTTTTCAACGATCACGTGATATTACCTAAAAATTAACCAACAAAAATGAATCCAATCACCAAAGTGAAACATTACTTGATTCAGAATGATTCTAGAACAAGGAATAATTAATGTCCGAATTTAAGCATAAAGAATAAAGGTAAGCAATTGCATCATTCATATGCCCTTTTGCCGCAACCTAATGATTTTTCTCTTTTTACATATTTATATTCGTCGAAGAAGTGATTAGAATTGTTCCCTTTCGTAGTTTCGTTACGCAATTATTCCCCAATGCTAGAATTACATATTCGACAAAATAAGGGGAGATAATATATTTTAAAATTAAAATTATTCTATTTAGCTACAATTATTATTTAATAAATAAAAGTATCTGTGTTTAATTTCAATTATTTAATAAATACGTTAGTATTTTACAATTTACCCACACATATATCTGTTACGGTTTTGGGTACAATTAATTTCGTATATAAAATCTTTATATAAATCATTGACATTATT